ATCATTTCCCTGTATTTTTTCATTTTTGGGTGTCAGTAACTAACCTGTCTTCCCTCACGCTACACCACTGATAATAAACATTTAAATAACGTTTGTGCACGTTTCTTCAGCTCTTGTTTCGCTAGACATGGGATGGTTTCGTCGAAAATCGAACCTTCAACACCCCGGGTTGAACCGCTACCCAACGATCCCGGAGCTGCCTTCGAACTTCCTGTCGTGCTCTGAATTCCAAGTCATGACGTTTTAATGTGGAGTTCGCAAACAATTGCTGAAATAACTTTTGTGGATAAATTGGAACATATTGAGGGTAACTCTTTCAATTAGTCTTCAACAATCCATTTTACCCTTATGCATTTTGTAATCATCGTTTAGTATAAAAACAGTTTAAAGCGTATAGCGTATTTTAGTACATTTAACAAGGTAGTAAAAATTCAATGAAGTGAGATCTATTGGAGGTAAGGGTGATCATCGCCCCCTCATCCCCCATGTTACGTTTACGAAAGATGATTAAATATAAGGAGATTACAGAGCTGAAGAAAACGTGCTTAAATTCCACGTATAAGTTACCTCTTTTTTGCCAAATATTTCGAAGTATCGTTAGGGTTTCTTGATTTTTCAACTTTTATTCTTTTATATAGTGGATTTACAAAACCCCTATCTAAACAAGACCCCCGTTTTCAAGATTTGGGGAATGAAGTAATGAATGTCTCTTTTTCAATTTTCCGCACATCTCCGCAACTCTGGCTATTATTTTTCTCACTCACTGAAATGTCCTACGCACCTGGGAGGAGTCGAGTTCCTGTGAGGGACCATTTCCGACCTGCCATTTTCATTCTAACACTTACCACTTCCTAATGCGGTCAAAGTGCCACGGTAAATGTTAAATATTTCCACATCTTGTATTGTAATGTTGTTCAACAGTAAATGTGGTCAACAGCGATACACAACAATTGACTGATTCAAGAAGCAGAGAGAGGGAAAGTGATCCAGGGATCAAGAAAACCGTGCGGATATAATAACTACTGTGCCCAACGAAAATATAATATATCTCTTGTCTCATCAGTCACAAGAGCTGCCAACTTCCAACGGGCAAACAATGCAAGACCATTCATTGGAGAAGGATTTCTATAACATGCATTTGCATATTTCTTTGTACAAAAATACATAAATGTAGAAATTTTGGTTTGTGAAAACTTACAAAAAACTAAAAATATGATTCTCATATGATACAATATCGACGTTGCAGTCTGCCGGAAGATTCAGTGACACCTGGCGAATGTTGAACTACTAACTAGCTATCTGTCGATGGCGTTGTAAAAACACTCAGGCTCGCACTAAACTAGCTCTGTAATTTCTCGTATCTAATTTGCAGTTAATGCAAGAAAATTGTGATGCGATTTATACTTATGAGAGTAAAAATGAATGACACAAATGCCCTTATTATATATAATTCCTATAAACTTGAATAATGGCGACATTTTCGATTACGCGCCGGTGCTATAACCGGCATGAGCCGCCACTGATTGAAATTGAACAGTGTGCCATTATTTGGTGTTAAGTTAACATTTGTAGGTCTCTCAATTCAGTCAAACTTGAGATGGAACGTACATTTTAAAAAGAACTGAACACTAGCTTAAGTTAATTATGCTTTGTGTTCAGAATTCTTTCAAATTCAATCAGCCTTCAAACTGCTTGTCGTCTATATTTCGTGAATGTGCATTCCCGCCTGGGATATAGCATATTTTTTGGATCTTATAGCTCCAATACTTTTAGAATACAAAAACTTTTTTTAACCTAGGAATTCTACCATTACCATGTCTCTTGATTTACGAATCAGATTTGTTTTTTGTCTAAAATGACTTACTCAAGGGTGGGAAAATATTTTTACCAAACGCGGGCGTCTATAACCAGTGCGGTTTTTACAACCCTGCCCCTCAAGGCCGTACTTCACGGAGGCATTATGCCACTATATTTCGCGTCTTTCTCGGTCGTGCCAAAAGACGCCGCATGATTGCGACCGTATCCAGCACTGCTATACGGATGCGATCATTCGACTTTTCATTAGTCACTTGTCTGCCATTAGCGTTAATCTGTTAGGCCTGAATCAGAATTGTTCACCTGGCAGGGTCTTCTCAACATTTGACTATAGATTTTGTGTGAGCAGTTTGCTCAGTATGTTGTCGGCCTTGGATTTCATGGCTATTCCTCTTTATGAGTCGCGTGAGCTTGTGTCTCCTTTCCCTCTGCAAAATAGGTATTCATGGTAGCTGTTCTCCATTCTTCCGGGATACTCCCCAGTTCGAGACATTTATTAAATATATCCGTCCACACCGGCAGTAGTATTGGCATCGACCGTTTCATTGTAGGTAGAGTGCATCTGAGCCAGAGGTTTTGTTGTTTTTCATGGATTCTGTTGCTCGCCTCACTTCCTTGAGAGAGAATAGTTCACATGACTTCCATTCGGTTTCGCTTGGCTCTGGTCTTCTTTCTTTTCTTATTACTTTCGTCACATGCTCTCCCATTGCCTAGCGGAATATCCATCAGGAAGGGAGGTTGTTTGACTCTTAATGCACTATAGAGTTTTGTCTTAGCAATTCAATTTCCCGTTTCGCCTCTTTTTCGATGTACGCTGCTCTTTTTAGCTTAATGAGTTGTTTGTATTCCCTTTTCTTTTTGCAGTTTTGTCGTTTTCCACTCCCGTTACCTTTGCCTTCCTTTGGTACACAACTTACAACACACAATCTTAGGCACCGAAACCCCAAACCCAGAAACCGAAAACGTGATTCAATTTACTGAAGAAGAAGAAGAAGAAGAAGAAGAAGAAGAAGAAGAAGTAAGAGAAATAATAATGAAGACAAAAACAAGAAAGCAGCAGGGCCAAATAGAATATACAATGATCATATCAAAGCTACGGAAAATCAGTTAATAGAAACGTGGTCAGAGATGTTCAAGAAATGCATGGAAAAGTAGCCCAATCATAATATACGGAATACAATATGGGGAAACTATCAATAGCTGATCTAAGGGCCATAGAGAGAACTAATACAAGATACTTGAAGAGAGCCCTGTGTCTTCCAAAGAACACAATGTCAAAATTAGTATCTGAATGGACCAGAAAACCATTATACATTGAGGACTTAAGATACCAATTACTACTACCATCCACCAGGCAAAGTACACAAGTAGTAGAAGAAAGAAAGAAAGAAGAGAAAAGAAATATGGCCAAAATTTTACTAACAGACATAGTAATGAAAAGAAAATGGACGGAAAAAAACCAGGAATTAAGGCTCGTGATAAATTAAGGCCGAACATCCAAAAGAAAAGTTATATTAATTTTAACTATTTAATTTAATGTATTATTTAATGTAATATATATTATTTGGATTGTATAATTGTAAAGAACCTGTAACAAGTATTGTACTTCAGCTTCTGGGTCAATGACCCCCACCTCGATCAAATTTTCGTCCAGTTTCCCTGATCCTCGAGCAAATGCTGAGGTCGCTTTGCTTTGCTTCTGGTCATAAATGTAACTTCAAATTAAGTTCTCCCCAAAGCACGTCACACACAGTTTTTAACTTCTTTTGACGTAAATAAATAAATAAAGTGATCACAAGACTGGCAACTCATGAGTTTCGTCACAAAATCTGCGCAACCTCATCATTAAGTGAAAGAATGAAAGTGAACCTTCCCATCACCACGAAGTGAAAGAAGACTGCGTTTGCTCCCTGCGATGAACAGTGTGAACAATATCATATGCAAAGATGCAAGAAAAGAACTAAAACAGTTACAAAATATAGCAAAGAACATTAATAACATTTTATGCACATTCGTGCGAATTCCATTTTACGGTTGTCACTATTTTTCGCGCCTTTCTTGGTCGTGCCGCAGCCGTATAGCAGTGTTACATACGGTCACGATCATGCGACATCTAGAGGCACGACTGAGAAAGACGCGAAATAAAATGACATAATGCCATCGTGAAGGTGGGGCCTTGAGGGGTAGAGTTTAAAAAAATCGCAGTATACTTCTGTGTACGCTCCTAAGCAGTGCCGCGTCCAACATATTTTTCTCTGTAAGCCTCTCTTCGATCCACCTCCGTAATATTGTCGTTTCTGCGTCCCCGAAATCACTCTGGTTTTAGATTCCTCGCTTTCTTCTGAGCACTTACAATTTAGTCCGTCTTTCAGAATCACTCATCCCAGAATTAAGAAAACGTGCACTGAATACACTTCTTGCGGCAGGACATCACACACAGTTATTAACTGATTTTGACGTAAAATGAATAAAAAATGAAATAAAAATGAAGAAAAAAGGTTACGCACTTCTCAGCTTCTCACCCAAAACTTTCCCGCGATACGTTGTGACGTCAGGCTGAACATCTGAAGTAAAGAAGTTGCATATGTAATTTATGATACTAGCGCATCATGCGGTGCCGGCTTGTACCAGTTGTGTTTGGCATGATCATGCTGTAAATTCCGTCCTGCGTACGACGATGCGCTGACGATTTATTCTTCTGTTTTCTGGCTTTTTGTTATCGCGTGATGAAGGAAACCGGAGGAAACGCGTTGGTGTATTTTGAATTTGTGTTATAGTGTTGGACGCCGGTTGCTGTGATGGACTAATTTAGATAAAGAAGAGTGTTACTTGTTGAAAATAAGGTGGATTGTTGCAAGAATATTGATCAAATTCATCAAATTTCATCATGTACCTTTATAATTTGACGCTTCAGCGTGCGACAGGAATCACGCATGCTGTCCATGGTAACTTCAGTGGTAGTAAAATTCAGGAAATTCTGGTATCTCGGGGGAAATCTTTGGAACTCCTGCGGCCAGACCCTAATACCGGCAAAGTACATACATTGCTCACTGTTGAAGTATTTGGTATTATAAGGTCCTTAATTGCTTTCCGGTTGACAGGAGGCACCAAAGATTATGTTGTTGTCGGTTCAGATTCCGGCAGAATTGTTATTTTAGAATATTCGCCCCAGAAAAATGTATTTGAAAAGGTTCATCAAGAAACGTTTGGAAAAAGTGGGTGCCGTAGAATTGTACCTGGGCAATATCTGGCCATAGATCCTACTGGCCGAGCCATTATGATTGGTGCAATTGAGAAGCAGAAACTTGTCTATATTCCAAATCGTGATCAGGAAGCCAGGTTGACAATATCTTCTCCTTTGGAAGCTCATAAAAGCAATACATTAGTGTATCATGCTGTTGGGGTTGATGTTGGATTTGATAATCCAATGTTTGCATGTTTAGAAATTGATTATGAAGAGGCTGACAATGACCCTACTGGAGAAGCTGCTCACAAAACACAACAAACCCTTACTTTCTATGAACTGGACCTTGGTTTGAATCATGTTGTTAGAAAGTACAGTGAACCTTTAGAAGAACATGCGAACTTTTTAGTGCCAGTTCCTGGTGGAGAAGATGGACCCAGTGGTATTCTTATTTGCTCAGAGAACTATCTCACTTACAAACATCTTGGAGATCAAATGGATATCCGATGTCCAATTCCTCGCCGCCGTAATGATCTTGATGATCCTGAACGTGGAATGATCTTTGTTTGTTCTGCAACCCACAAAACAAAGTCAATGTTCTTTTTCTTAGCCCAGACAGAGCAAGGTGACATCTTCAAAATAACCTTGGAAACAGATGGATATGTAGTACGTGAAATTCGTCTCAAGTACTTTGACACTGTACCTGTTGCCACAGCGATGTGTGTTTTAAAGACAGGGTTTTTATTTGTTGCGACAGAATTTGGCAATCATTACTTGTATCAAATAGTGCATCTAGGTGATGATGATGATGAACCAGAATTCAGTTCCGCTATGCAGTTAGAAGAAGGAGATACATTTTTCTTTGCTCCTCGTCACTTACGAAATTTGGTTTTAGTGGATGAACTTGATTCTCTGTCACCCATAATGGCTTGTCAGGTTGCTGATTTGGCAAATGAAGATACTCCTCAACTCTATATGTTGTGTGGTCGTGGTCCAAGATCTACTCGTTCGGGTTCTACGGCATGGACTGGAGGTATTTTGACAATTCAGAATAATTGACAATAATGTTGTTCTTTGCAGGAAATGGATATGTGGTTTTTTATTAAAATGCAATTCAAAATCAAAATATCTTTTATAGGTTTCTGAAATGGCAGTATCCGAACTGCCTGGCAATCCAAATGCTGTTTGGACTGTGAAGAGGCGAGCTGATGAGGAATATGATGCTTATATTATTGTAGCTTTCGTAAATGCCACTCTTGTATTGTCTATTGGAGAAACTGTGGAAGAAGTTACAGATTCTGGTTTCCTTGGAACAACTCCAAACACTGTCGTGCTCATCACTTGGTGATATGCTTTAGTGCAGGTATGAAACAGAAATTCTCTCCCTTTATATTTGATTGTATGAGGATGCAGGAAGTTAAAAAAAACTTTGACTGCCAGTCTGTTACTTATAATAAAAATCCATCAGATAGAACACATCTGCTTTGGCTTGTATACCATTTCAAAAACATTTGCTTTGTTAATATGAGGATGTTAATGTTTAGAAGGAAGCAGTTGTTTCCTAAAAACATATTTTGTTACATTGGTCCAATTTTCCTCCATTGCAAGGGATCTTCTAATTCCCTGTATTTTCTATCTGATTTTAGCTCAATTTTGAATTAAAGTTTTTTACCTCCTGGAAGACTTTTTAATTCAGTTTGTAAATCCCAAATGGTAGCATAGTACAAATTGAACAAAATGATAATGAAAATATATTCAATCAAAAGTCTTTTCAAATTGCAATTATAACTTTCAGTGGGTGCTAAATGCTAAGAGAAATTAATTTTATTGCAGGTTTATCCAAATGGCATTCGCCACATCAGAGCAGATAAGCGAGTGAATGAGTGGCCAGCACCTAGCAAAAAGACTATCACCAAATGTGCAGTCAACCATCGTCAGGTATCCATTTTTTCAAATTTACGGTGAAGACTTGCTATGGTTGAGTTTATTTTAAACTCCTTTTATAACTTTCATTTTTATTTCACACTGTTATTTTCAAAATATTAGTCTTTTTTGTGTAATTTTGAATTGCGTATTGGGCTGCAGTAAAGAACATGGTACAACTGAGGGAAATTGTCTAAAGGGCACTTTAGTTGAGGGGACAAGGGGTAGTTACAGGGTTTTTAGGGGAATCTTTCAGGTTTTCAGGGCTAGTGAGAAATCTACATAACATGATACATAACCATGTATTTTTCTGTATCCAACATTGGAGCTTTTTTAAAAAAACTTCTGTGCAAAATTCCGCGAATCATTTATTTAAATTTTGAACAATTTATACCATACAATCTTTTTAAAAGGTGAAAACTATTGAAATGAAATGTTACACTCATTATATGCTAACAGTTGAATCAGATGTAGTTTGATTCTGTAATTTTTGAGATATTAAATACTGAATATAAACTAATCATACACATTTATTACTATTCAAATGCATTCGCTTGTAAAATATGATCAGAATGTGACTTGTGTACACATCTCATGTACCTGCATATTAAATTCAGCATCCCTTGCACTCCCATGGGGTGACAGCTGAATTATATGAATGATTTGCAGGTCAGCAGATTTCAGTGAACTAAGTAAATACTGAACATTAACTAATCATACACATTTTTATACATGCCTGACTAATCAGTCATGTTGCTCATAAATTATGATTAGAGAAGATTCTGCCACAATCATTTTTTCATTGTGTAAGTACTCATTTTAGTATTGGCAGTGCAATCCCTTGGTAGCTGTTTCACAATGGGTTATGATACATGTACTATACTAACATTATTCCACTGATTTTCATAGCCATAATTAATATGAAATAGGTTTTTGTTTTAAATGTCTCAAGTTCTCAATTTTATCTTCTCAAAAAATAGAAATTGGTAATTGGATATGAAATGAAAACCAATGGTGCAAAATTGAGATGTTGATCAAAAACAAAGCTTAAAGATAACCTATGTTTGTAGGTGGTAATAGCTTTGGGCGGAGGAGAACTTATCTACTTTGAGATGGCTTCTACGGGCCAGCTGAATGAATACAATGAGCGAAAAGAACTGCCTTCAGAAGTAGTGTGTATGGCATTGGCAAGTGTACCAACTGGAGAGCAACGAACACGCTTCTTGGCTGTTGGTCTGGCTGACAATACTGTGAGGATCTTTAGCTTGGATCCTTCAGACTTCTTCTCACCCCTTTCTATGCAGGTATGGATCCTTTGGGTTGACCAACAAGCCAACCATAATTGATCAAAAGCTTCTGACAAGCTAGTGTATTTATAAAGTGTGAAAAACTTAAGAAAGTGGCTACTAAATTGAAGAAAGGCTGAATTATTTCCAGTTTTTCACTTTTTAAAAATGTTTTTGTGTGACAGTTTTTGAGTAGTACTGCTCAGAGTATTGACAGTTTTTAACTTAAATTTAAATTAACCTGCTATGTTCAAGACTTTAACTATTCAGTTCTCAGATTGTGAACATTTCACAATGTCTAATATTGAAATGTGACTAGTAAGCAAAACAATTTTGCTCTAACATAGTTATTGTATTTAATATTTTGCAAGTAAAGAAATAATAAAGGTAATTCTGTTTTGAGGAAGTTCTGTTTTGTTCTAGATGTTGCCGGCTGCTGCAGAATCACTGTGCATTGTGGAAATGGGAGCTGGTGAGACACAAGAAGGGGAGCCAGGAACCCAGGGATCGCTCTATCTCAATATTGGCCTTCAGAATGGAGGCTTGCTCCGAACTGTCATTGACCAGTCAACAGGGACTCTCTCGGATACACGCACACGTTACTTGGGATCCCGACCTGTTAAACTCTTCCGCATACGCATGCAGGTGGGCTTGTTTATTCAAATTACATAACAATAATAATAATTTTAAATTTTTTTATGTTATGAAGTTTTGTTTGTCTAATGTCTAACTCAAATTGATTTACTCAATAAACAGCCAACTACCGTTCTACTGAATTTCTGGGGACTAACATGTTTGGTTCACTATGTCTGAGGTTCACTATATTTGATGATGTCAAAATTAAATAGAATTTCTTCATAACAATTTATTTTGTTAATACAGAGATAGAGCAAAATACAGTATCATGAACTGAAAATTTCAATATCTTTATTTGTTCTTAAGAAATCAATTATTTTAAATTGTTTGCTTCATACTTTTTCATTAATAATTTCTCTAGATCCTTCTCCACAGTTTATGCTCTCTCCATATACTTGATTCTCTACTGTTTTTCTGGTCTAAGTATAACGCAGTCTTGGCATCTTTCAATGCCTCTTGCACTGTTGGAACGCTGTCCCTCTCTCAAAGGCTCCTTTACTTGCTTAGTAACATTCAAGATGCTTTTGGTTGAGGGATGACTCTAGGGCTAATGAAACCAATTGCTTTTCCTGGCGGTACAGCGGATATCATCAGGCAATGGCAGTCGCATGCTTCTTTTTCTGGGCGTAGAATTCAACATGCTTTGTCATGCGGAATATCAAGTAACACCAAAATTGAAACTGAAACAAGCAATTGCGTGTCGCCTCTGCCAGTTGTAGCCCACTCTGGACATGGCCTTTGTTTCCTCAGTGAAACTGAGTGATGTAAGGTCATGAGTACGTTGCCCATTCCCAGTCTGCTACCTTCACCTCAGGGAAGACATCTTTGATTATTATTTTGAAAATTTTCCAAGCTGCCTAGTATTGAAATTTGTGGCACTGATGTGATATATTCTTTGCCAAGAGGGAACTAATTTCTTGGATGTATTTCCTATGTTCACTATTACCAAATCTTCTTATGCAAATTTGTAATAAGTGAACCGGGACCTGTGGCTTAAGTTAACTATAACCAGAGTCAGCAGTATCTGGTATTCAATTTTTGTTTTTCAGTTTTCATATCTCTCCTTGACTTTTTATAAGCATCTTAAGCAGTTATAATTATTAAAAGTCTAGTTTGTGATCAAAATATTATCAGTGTGTATGAAGTCACAAATCTTGAAAATTGTCTAATTTTACTTGTAAAAATTGTATATACATCAAACCTCTATATTTTGCAAGTCTATAGTCATGAAATTTTTTTCATTCCCATGAAAATTCCATTTAAAATTGTTCCTTTATATTGAAATTTATTTCTAAGTATCAACTCCAATTTACCAAGAGCAGTGACTCAGGGCATCAACTGATGTCATTGCAGTGACCAGGGCCTTGCAACTCTTCATTCAAAGCTCGAGGGTGCTACTCTAGGAGGCGCAAGTGTCGCCATGTACAGCTGCAGGTTACGCTCGCCAACTTCCGCTTATAAAAATTGGTTCATTTGTGAGAAATAAGAAAAGTGTCTTTTAAATGTTCATTTATTCATAATATATACATACAAGAAACCCCTAAAGGAAGCGTGAACATCAGCTCTATCTTTTGTATTACTCGGGCAACTTTACTTGAACGATAGATTGACGATTTCGGGTGGAGTGGGGGTATTAGTTACAAAGTCGGCCACTAGAGTATTTTAAGTAATGCCAATGTCTGTGAAATGAAAGTCAAAACGGCATCTTGTGCTTAACTTTTTCGGGTGACTTCCTTGAAGGACCTGGACCTGATTCAGCCATTTCTTTTGATATTGACAATAAACCTGAACAGGGGTTCTGCACTATGAAAGCAACTGGCTTTGACTAGCTTCTGTTTCGCGCCAACAAAGTTTTAACGCTTGGAAGGTTGTCATCAGTGCTCGCTGCGAGCTTTTGCCTTTAACTGTTTATTGCACAAGGGAGGGGGACCAAGGTCATCGTTAAAGAAAAGTTGCATGTGTAATAACATAATGGGCCTGCTTGCGACCCACGAATTCACGCAGTAGCCATGCAAGTTTGAAGTATCGTTGGCAGCAGTTTGTTTTAGTTCCTGTAAGAAGGTGCTGCAGTAGAGTGTGCCACTAATTGTTTCCACCGTGTTATATGGGAGTTATAAAGCCCTGGCAGTTGACTCTGACTGTGTGAGGTTCTGCAGTTCAAGTCCAGACAGTCAGTGCTGGAGCTGTACCCTACCAAATGGACCACAGACAGCGTGCTTCCTTCCCATTTCTTGTCCTGTCCTATCCTATTTCTTGCACACACTTACACTTACATGCACTACACTATCACATGTGCTGAGAGTCTGTTCGAGAACTTAGAGCCTTCCCTGGCTGTGGCGGTGCTCTGCTGGTGGGAGATCAAGTTTGCCTGGTTGTGGACAACCAGACCATCCAGCAGAACATGATAATCTCCGCCTGTTGAGGGAAGCACATGCACTACACTTGAGGGACTAATGTCCTTAGAAGTCTACACTTCCAGAATCACTAGTTATCAATCAATTAAAGAATTTTCTGACTTGTATTTTGCTATTCACAAGAAGAATTTATGAAATGATGTTTCTAGTAAATAAACAAGTATTGTGCACATTGGAATGAGAGTATTACTACTGCAGAATAGATAACTTCCTCCTGAAAGCTTATTTACATTTGTATAAATTAATGAAATGTCTGTAAAATTCCATTGCAACCCCAATTACCTTCTCATGAAATTTTCTCATCTCTGCTTCCCCTCTTGTGGGAACTTGACTGAAACAAGCCAGGCAAAGTGATGTGAAGGTCATTTGCATGCCCTGGTTTTCGACAGCAGTTCAGTTCAGGTTCGGTCTATTGTTATATGCTTAAGAAAACAATTCGTAACCTTTGGAGTGAAACTCGGTTAAAATAGGGAACACACCATTCGCCCTTGGAGAAGTGTAGCATGACGGGGGAGTGGGTAGGTGAGGAGGTGGGTCCTTTAAGCCCTCCCTCAAATTACGTTACATGCTCTGATAGAAATGAACAAAACTTTTGGGTAAGGGATTTTCATGACTCACCTATCATATGCTTTGTCCCTGCTGCATTGTAATGCCAAATTACTTTTAAAGGCAAGTTTTCTCACTTCACTCACCTGGATCCAAGTCACGGCAAAGCTTGGGCCTTCGGCCTTCTCATTCAATATAAACATCCTTGAGTCTATCCACCACATACTTACCAATTCATTTCTATAAGAAAGTACTGCAGTAAGCACATTATAAGAGAGCCTTCAGAATTCAAATCGTGCTGTTGCAAACACATTACCAAAAAAGAACACTACACTACCACAATCGCAGCACTATTTCATAACAGAGGTCCAAAAGATTAAGGGTTAATCTTACCTATGTCCGTCAAATTATGAACCCCTCATCCTCTCCCCATGGATTTCACCCTCGCCCGAGCGGTGCAAAGTGCAACTTGATTAAAGATGACTGGGATCCAGAAAAGACAAGCGGCACAAAAGTATGGAACACCAGCTAGTTCATTTTCGACTATCATGAAAACCCATGAAAAATTTATGAATTAACTTCAAAGTTTTAAAAATTAAGTAAATATGCATATTATGTTCAGTTAAAACATTTTTACTTTCTCGTATGTGTGCATATATACGGAGGATGGGTGCATACTCGTATGGGTGCATATATACGGTATTGTAGAGAAAGTTATGTAATGTTGCGGAAAATCGATTTCATAAATTCAACGGAACAGCATGTTTTGAGGTTCCCTGATATTTGTTTATTATTTATGGTTTTATTTTGCCCTTTACCTGTGAGTTTATCTCCAAAATTGTTTAAAAGCAATTGTGAATTGTATATTGTGTGTATTTCTATACTATATTGAATAATATCAATGGAACTGAGAGATTCAATATGTGGATGTCCAACTAGTTCACAAGCCAATATATAAAACTCTTGCTTGGGCCATGAAAGAAACAGCTCTACTTAAATAAATCCATATTATTTTTATTTATTTTTTATTTAAATAAACTGGATAAACCCCTTACACGCAAAAACATAATGGCAAAAATGTATAAGTACAAAAATGGAGATAAAAATTAAAATGTAGTTTTAAATATAAAAAGATAACTATTATTTGTATATTTATATTCATATGAACTAACATAAGTCATTTAATACATACATATTTAACTCGTGTGATCATGGAATATGAACTCATTCATAACACTTAATATGAACCTTTGCCAATCTAATTAATGCATAATGGTTTGTATGAAAATTGTCAATGTAACATGAATTCCATAATCTATACATCATATTTAATCGATTGTTTGCAATATAAATGTTATTGTACATACTAAATATCTCTTATAGTCCCATTATTCATGAAATTCTTCAAAATATTCCTATCTATGATATCATTTTACTTGTGCACTAACAGTGTATGATGTTCAAACATATTTAATTTTGTGCAGTTAAAATTTTAGCTGTATGAGGCAATTATTGCTTTCAAAATGATGAAATACTTTTGTTACAGGGCAATGAAGCTGTTTTGGCCATGTCCAGCCGCTCCTGGCTGAGTTATTATTACCAGAATCGTTTCCATCTCACACCATTGTCATATGAATCCTTAGAGTATGCATCAGGTTTCTCATCTGAGCAGTGTCCTGAAGGCATTGTCGCTATTTCAACAAATACACTGCGTATTTTGGCTCTTGAAAAGTTGGGTGCAGTATTCAATCAGGTAACGTACAATTTTTCCATTGAATTGGTAGTTCGTAACATTATTTCTACAAAGTGTTGTGTAATTTTTACATAGTGGAAGGCATTTTAGGTCTGACACTTCACTAACATGTGATACTCCCTATTAATATATGGAGTTATGGAACATTATACAGTGAAAACTCCGTTAATACATTTTGCACTTATGTTTTTTACATTTATACATTGTTTTTAGTATGTTCCAAATAAATTCCTATACTTACCATGCTAAATTATTTCAGGTATGCATTTTACATGCATGTTTTTTGTATTTATACATTCATAAAGAAAGTCCATTTAAGACCCGTATAACATTCAAATGTTAAAGACATTGGTTATCATAAAGGAGCACACACAATTTTTGTGGTGAATTCAGTATTCATCTTGTTCAATTTCATCCTAATACAGGGCATTTTAACCAATTTCAACTGTTCATTTTGGAATTTTGAACAAAACTACTGGATGAAACTAGAGGTTCTGCAGAAAGGCACAGACGTTACCAGCTATTTGCATATACTGTTGTATTTGTGAGTTAACATGCTTCAAATGATTACTAATAAAGTTTTTCAAAAACCCAAAAATGTTCTGGTAAAAAAAAAATCAAAACTCAAATTTACAGTAGCGCTTAAACATCATTTTCTTAAGAACAGCTCCAAGTTTTTCAAAGGAAATTGCCAGTTGGGACAAAATTTTACTGTTCTTTAATATGCTTAAAATAATATTTCTGTTCTATAATAAGGAAACTGAACAATTAAGAAGATTTTAAAAAAAATGTATTTTGGATAGATGGCAGCTGGCAAGAGTATGTGACAAGTGCAAATAATTAGCAGAAACTAAAGGAAATAGAAAACTAATACCGGAAAGTCTGTGCCATTCTGTAGTACCACTAGTTTTGTTAGCAATAAAAAAAAGCTGCTGCAGTTTGTTTGCCGATGCAGTATACATTTTCTACAGCTCGGGAGAAAAAATTTCAAAAGTTGCTGACTTCCCTTTTTGGAACGTTTATTCATCATTTAGTTATTTATAGTTAAAAAGTTGGTAAGAGATACTGTAACTCAAGGACATGCACACAAATGGTACTTCTCTCTCATACATCACATGTAGTTTGTACGGTTCTTTTTACTTAAGTTAAATCAAAAGTAACAGTTGTGGCAGTTCCTGCCAGCAGATCCAAGAGTGGAGCATATCAAAGTAAAAATATTGAGTTTCTGTTTTACTCATAATATTCAATTTCAGTTATGCGTTTTTTTCATCAGTCTCCCAAAAAATGTAAAAGAGATGTTTTATTGTACAAGACAAATTGATTATGTCAAATACCATTACTGGAGATTACAAGCATGCTTCACAAACTTGTAAACATTTAATCTCCGTAAATTCAGAGAATATTAAGAAGGTTAATTAATATACTTGAATTTTGCACATTTATTATTTATAGGTATCTTTCCCTGTTGACTACACACCTCGCAAATTTGTTATCCACCAAGAATCTGCACATCTCATCATTGTTGAAACGGATCACAATGCATATACTGAGGAGACTAAGAAACAGCGCCGTGTACAAATGGCAGAGGAAATGCAGGAAGCAGCTGGAGAAGAAGAACAAGAACTAGCCAAAGAGATGGCTGAAGCATTTCTTAATGAAGACCTGCCAGAGAATGTGTTCAGTGCTCCGAAAGCAGGTCCTGGTATGTGGGCGTCAGTGGTACGCATCCTTGACCCAGGAGAAGGGCGTACTGTGGATTTGGTGAAGTTGGAACAAAATGAGGCAGCTCTTTCCATTGCCCTTGTGAAGTTTGCCAATCAGCCTGATGGACAACAGTTTGTAGTAGTAGGAGTTGCAAAAGATTATCAACTCAACCCTCGGCAGGTAACTATGTTTTCTACTTCATGCTACTGGTTGAACTACAAATATCAAAAAACTTCCTCTATTATTAATAGTATGGACTTCAGAGAGCAGATTCCAGAATGACATTCAAACTTGTTAAGCTGCGAACTTGCCAAAGAAAATCTAACTGCTTAATATTGCTGACTCTATTGTGTTCAGTGTATTTGGCACATTTTTTTAAACAAAAGATAAATTTAATGTTCTGTCAAAGATGTTATACGATGTATACCAATTTTTGGGGACATCTTTGAACATTCTTGTGGGATTGTTTCAGGTGTCAGGAGGTTTTCTGTACACATACAAAGTGGATGCAGAGTGCCAAGGTCTTGAGTTGGTTCATCGCACGCCTGTTGATGAGGCTCCCACCTGCCTGTGTCCGTTCCAAGGCAGACTTTTGGTAGGAGTAGGGCGCATGCTGCGTTTATATGACTTGGGCAAAAAGAAACTTTTGCGGAAGTGTGAGAACAAGCACATTCCTAACTTGATTGTCCATATCCAAGCAATTGGGCAGCGTGTGTATGTTAGTGATGTGCAAGAGAGTGTGTACATGATTCGCTACAAACGCATGGAGAACCAACTTATCATCTTTGCTGATGATACTCATCCTCGCTGGATCACAACCTCCACTATTTTAGATTATGACTCAGTGGCTACCGCTGACAAGTTTGGCAACATTGCAGTCATCAGGTGAGTATTCAAATCAGAGATGCACATTTGTGTACTTAACACCACTATAATCATGTAATTGTGCAACTTTCTTTTCTCTTGTGTATACGTTAAATTCTCAAGACAAAAAATTCTTCCTGATTGAAAAATCAACCATAACGAGTTGTGGCTTTTGAAGTTCATCCTCAAGACCATATTTATATTGTAGCACCATTAGGTGTTGTGAAAAGCTTTAAAAGGCCTCAAAGTGAAACTTGTCTTCATAATGTATGTTACGTACGTCAATATCTTTAAATATTTCCGATAATATTAACAATTAAATAAAACTATGTATAATCAAAAATAATTAATCATAAAAAAGAAAGTAATGCTATTGAAAAAAGTTTTCATAAAAGTGAAATATTGTATTTAGTTTCAGTGGTTGATTGAAACATGTTTATTACAAATTTGCGAAACAGCATTCCAATTATTTAGATATTTTAAACATGACACATTGTGACTACATTGAATAGTTTCCTCAACACATTGAGGCATTTCCTTGTGAACATAACCTATTGTTGTCAAATGTTAAAAGAACCACGAATGCAAAATTCTGTTTGTGGTCTTTTTGGCAATTACAAATGAATTGACATTGTGAATGATATTGAGACCTCAAAATGCGTTGTGGTTCATTTTTGCTATTGCTTAGTGTTGTTGGGCCAATTCTTCAGCACCTTGTGAAATATGTTAATTTCTTATAAAATGTTTGTTAAAGTCTATGAAATATTTGCAATGTTTGCAATCCCATGGTATAAAAAATGGTTGAATAATGATTGATTTTATGTTAGACGTAGTGAGTTATGGTAAAACGGAATGTCAATGTGCAATTTTGACTTCAATGCCTATCTTTTGTGAATGGACATAAGTGTAAACCTTGATGTTACAGGCTGACAGGTAGCATATCTGATGATGTCGATGAAGATCCAACTGGGAATAAGGCGCTGTGGGATCGAGGACTGTTGAATGGAGCTTCCCAGAAAGCTAGTGTTGTTGCGAACTTCCACATTGGAGAAATTTGCATGTCGCTGCAAAAAGCCACACTCATTCCTGGTGGGTGTGAGTCCTTAGTATACACAACCCTCTCAGGCACAGTTGGTGTTCTAGTGCCATTTACATCCCACGAAGATCAAGACTTCTTCCAGCACTTGGAGATGCATATGCGTAGCGAGAATCCTCCTCTCTGTGGACGTGACCATCTTTCTTTTAGGTGAGTAACAAATTTGTTCAGGGGTACACCAAGGAAAGAAGATGCCTGGTGCTGAATCAATGGAGGCTCCTTATTTCAAACACTACCACTGATATATGTTATGGCATAAGTCTGAAATAAGGCTATTTTGAAAACTAAAATATGAAATGAGAATGAAGGGATCATTTCAGACATCGTCCAGCTAATGTTGGGTTTAGCCTCAGGGTACTGGCTAAGTAAGATAATTGTCGAAGTTTCTGGAGTCTTGCTTGTTTGTGAGATACATTTTGACATAAAATACAGAATTGGTATATTCTTTCCCAGATGTAGCACATTACATTCTGAGGTATTAAGATGTAAGATGCATCTATCAAAGAGCTTTTTCCAAAGTATCCAAGGAACACAAAGGTTTGCCATAATAATGTTACCTGGAATGAAGCCATGTTGTTGAATGAGATTTTCAATAACTTCTTTCTGTTTTCTTTGGACTCCACATTACACTAATTAGGACTAATTGGGTGAACATTTTCTGAATTTTGGTGAACCCTTCTCTTAACAATTACTGTATATACTGGAATAGCATCTCCATTTCTTTTTTAAAAATTCATAGCTGAAATTGGGAGTGCAGGTATTAGTCATGTCCAGGTTGGTATTATATGTGCACATTGTTTTAAGCCCCGGAATATTACCCTCGGGTCATTACTAACATAAGTTGAATGAAGTATAAATGATGGCAATGAGCATTGTTGACAAAATCTGCTAACCAGAAATGTTCACTTCTGTATAATAGAAACTATTGCAGTGAAAAACAAGCTACAGACTTGATATAAATGTTCGGTCATTAAAATATCTCCTGCCCACTCTCCTCTGGCATCAAGCAACATGAGGGCTTGAGGAAAATACTGTAAACTTGAAGTTTGATCTTTCACTATGAACAAAATATTAGAAGCAGCAGATCAAATTGATAATGATGCAGCAAGAAGGAAGTATTATTTGGATGATAGTTGCATTTGTGATTAGTGTACGAACAAAGCAAGACTTGAAGAAACTACTGTTAATTGGCTGGCACAGCTTTTTTCTTTTATTGTGGGTGTTGGATTGTGTTTCAACATTAACAATGTAATAAATTAATTTAATGGACCTGTTTGTTCAATAAAAGTGAAAGCAAGTTGGTTCTTTTTCCTTAAAATTAGGGTTCAGATGTTATTCGAGGGCAGGGATTATTTTTAGTATTTATGGAATACAGATTCTGGAAGAAGGAAAATATTGATGCAATAGACAAGTAGCAAAGATTGCCCCTCATGCCAAATACACAATTGAAAAAAATCATGTTCCTCTTCTTTCAAACCCACAACCATAGTGATTTCAACATTAGATGCATCTGCAATATAGGATGGTGTTTTAAAATGATAAACCTGAAGGCCCAACAGGTGAAAACATTGTTAGAATAAAAGATGTTCTTTTGATTTTGAGGTTCTTACAGTCATTCTCTGGCAAATTAGTACATCAGAATTTGTTGAATAAGACCGTATGTCATCAGTGATACTTGTGATTTAATTATTATTAATGAAATATGATTCTATGTTTGTCTTTTTGTCGTAGGTCATATTACTATCCAGTGAAGAATGTGGTAGATGGTGATCTTTGTGAGCAGTTTAATTCAATTGACATTGCTAAGCAGAAGAGTATTGCTGGAGATTTGGATAGAAATCCCAGCAAGGTGTCTAAGAAACTTGAAGACATTAGAACTCGATATGCATTCTAAATGTTAAAGTGGAACTTTCTTTTTATAAGTTCCTTTCCATTTTAAGTAAGATTCAGTGTTGAAAACATTTTTAAAGTCACTTGAGTTTTGATCAGTCAGCACTATTAGAAAGAAAATAATTTTGCCCCTGTATGTAATAGAAACTGTTCTGGCTGTGATGCTGGATAAAATATTTGTACATATTAAAAAATAAAATAATAATATTAAACTTCCACTGAGTTTAATCGGGAACTTCCTTTAAATATGTGTTTTCTGATTAGAACCTGCATTGGTAAATGGTAGTGAATATGTCAAATATTGTCTTGTCAAAATATTTACTTTTGTATTGTGTGGAACAATTGTTTATCTGCAGACTGAGCTTGGATTTATTCACTCAGTGGTTGTGATTTTATTCTTTAACACTTTCCCAACTGCTCCTCTAAGTAGTGTTTGGTCCCAGTCAAGTGGCAGTTTTTGGCTTTTTTTGTATTTTTACTAAAAATAGAGCTTTCAAACTATTATAATGTTATAAGTGACATTTCCTCTCTATAATATTTCATCAATAAGCAAAGTGTTTCTATCATTTTTTTAAAATTCTGTTTGAAAAGTGTGTGTGGGTTTGAACATAGAAGAAAAATCTTCAAATTTTGAGTAGGTTTATATATAACTATAATTACAACACAAACATATTACGTTATTCTTAGGTTATTTTATTGGCATCAACAGTAACACATCAGTGATAATTTTGCAAATCGTGTCAACCATCTTCAAACTGCAGATTTCAGCTGTTTCAGGTGCAAATTTAAAATATAAATAGACATGACTTTGTAGGTGCTGAGACATGGATTTTTTCCTTAATCACTTCAAATCACAATATTAAATGTTATGTATTTTGGCTCACTAAGGAAACATGATCTTCCAATTTTTCCAGGAAAATACCAGATTCTTCGTTTGGTGATCTTTAGAGACCCACTACAATAAGCTTGAAACATTCAGTACTTACCCATGTAGCATAAAACTGACTACAAAGGAAGTCAAAAACCAATCTTAGATAATGTAGTTATGAACATTTATTTTTACATAGATTAAAACTCCACTATGTTCATGCAGTTCTCTACAAGAGCTATGCCCTAGCTGATAATGATCTCGGATAGTGAATGATGTTTCACTTTTGTAACACCAAATATAATATCAAAACTGTTCACATTTTCAAAATCATTAATTACTACTAGTTTGCTTTGCATATCCTGTATATTAAGGTAGCCTATATTGACACTCGACCTCTGTCCATGCTGGTCAGTCTACGTCCTGACTGGAGGATGCAGAGAAGGCTCTCATGTATTCATTTTTCCATCATTCATCCTTGTACTTTTTTCATATTTCACTTTATTTCATACATTCTTTTATCCTCCCTTTTTCTTTGTCACTGACATTCTCTGTATTCTGAAGCCCACTCATGTATGCCATGCATTGTGACCATGTTGAAGGGAATGAGTGACCTGGAAGTTGAGGGTCAGTACATGCTTACCACCTTGGTGCTGGAGCCTTGGGTTAGACCCCTTCTAACTCTGTTCATAGTGTGAACCTTGACAAGTGTGTGTGTATGAACATCCATGTGTGTGACAAGTGTGTGTGTATGAAAGTCCATGTGTGTGTGTGTGTTTTTACATCCCTTGCTGCAAAGGAGTACAGGTTGAAGACCTTCCAAATATAATTTCTCAAGTTAAGTTTCTTCGTCATTGGAGATTTCACACACAGCACCTATGGCGATATCCAGGAAGTGTGAGTGTGTGCCCAGTTTTAATAAGATGCTGGTTCTTGTGCCCTTAGTGGGGTTGCCTTGTTGGTCCATGGCAACATCTTTTTGTTAAGAAATCACAGACCAGGCCAGTCCATTCTTCAAATTGTGTGTGTATCAGCCTTTAATCTCTCTGTTTGCAATATTTACATTCCTCGCTGCAAAAGAGTACAGGATAAAGGCTTTCCAAATGTAATTCCTCAAGTTCGATTTCTTCATCATTGGATATTTCAATGTCCACAATCCTCAGGGGTTCCTCTCGAACTTGTCAGAGGAGAACCATTGCAGAAACAGTCATAAAGAATTAGTTTCATTCTGTTGAATACAAGTCTACACCAATTCTTCAGGTCGCTCTAGGCCCTTTTCATGAATAGATTTAGCCCTGGGTTAAACTTCAATGCAGTGCTTCTGACCAGCCGGTTCTAGGTTCGAGTCCCGACAGCAGGACCTAGCTTGCCAGCTAGGTCTAATTCAATCGCTTTCTGGAAGAGAATTCTAGCAGCTGGCTGCTGTGTTCTGCGGCGGTGCCCTGCTGGTGGGAGATATCTGGTGGTGGAAAACCCCGCTATCAACGATAGGTCAGCGCCGGATCTCGCCATTCGGTTGGAAAGGGTCCCCGCCATCTCCTGAGATGCTCTGCACTTACGGGACCATAGTACTTGACATACCCGGAATCACAAGCAATTGGTCCAACCCTGGACTGGTCTGTCCTGAATATGGAAGTATGCCCAGTCTTGTTGAACATCAATGTTCTCGTTCCATTTCCCACTCGTCCCCTCACTGAGTTTTCCAGCGAGCGAATTAGCCGGTACTTGAGATGCCCCTCTGCCTAACTGATGGGCCTTTCTAAAATATCGATACAATGTCTTATTTCACCTGCGCTAAAATTGCCGATCTTCTGGAGGACTGAGCCGTCCCCCTATATCACGGTGGGATTCATATTATGGGAAAGCGATCAAGGCATGGGCGAATACGCCTGGCAAGCTGAATCATTATCGAACCATTGAAAAGCTCGTAGGATATAAACGGTCTGGTGCACGAGCGAGAAGTCGTGCGCGAAAGCAAATCTGCTTCCTGTAGAACCTATCTTCGTTTACGTGTTACACCCTCCTAATGCCGTTTGGATGAAAATACGAAAAATTAAAGGAACCTCGTCTGATGTAATAACTGAGGAACTTGTTTCCCCTCTGTCATGTCGATCTCATTTTGCTATACACCCATCTTTCTTTTAGACTAAAACAGGCTTGCACAAGTCTGCTCCCGCGGTGATTTGCACTTACGTGCCAGCCGTCTTCCCGCGAGAACGCAGAAAATGCAAGTGGTGGGGAGTATACAGATTTGCGGGGAGGGGAGAAGTTGGAGCGGGGTCGACGCGGCGCGTAGATTGAATGCCTGGCTGTCTAAGGCAACGATCCATGTTGTGAAATGATTTACCCACTTATTTAATAGGGCAATTACTGTATTTCTAGCTAGAAGGGCCATATTTTACTGCTTGTTATTCTATGAACTACTGCGCATCGACATTTTAATTTTTTTTTAACTCTGTGTTCATGGAAACCCATAAACAATTTAAATGAGTGGCATCTTTTAAAACATTATGTAAGTTTAACTAAAAAAAATTTACAATTCAATAATTGATTTTTCATCAGGAATTTTATAATCTCCAAATGGTAGTAAAACGGAGGAAAATTGAGTGCAGACCCACTTTGATATTGATTTAAATATGAAGTTTAGGCAATTCCAAGAAGGGTAATATTTGGCAGCACACATCTCTGTGACCATTTTCCATTATTAAGAAGCCGAATTAGAGATACCAATGAGCAAGACCTTTTTACGATATTTTACACGTATGCAAATGTATTCGGCACCGGGCTTCCCTAATTGGCCAGTGGGCGCGGAGAACGAAACCGCACGAAGTTCGAATGCTGTACAGTGCCACAGTCAGTGGATGTGGATTCGACTACTGTGTTCATAGGCAAATCGTCTTCGTTTTCTGGTGTTTTATTTTGACAGCAGCTGTGAAATTAGTTTTTACCATCATGGGAACTAACAATCCAATGTGTTTTGTCACTTAGTCCCTAAAGTTATGTTTTGGTTTTATAAGAATAAATGCGAACTAGGAAACAAATAGCTTTATTTCCAAGCGAATTATATAGAAATCTATGAAGATGTAAAGGATAATGAAGAAAGGTCATAAGAAGTGCAATAAGTTCAATTGACGATATTAACAGTTGAAACACGAAGATCACCCGAATGAAATGGAATGCCAGATCATCAAAACCTTCAGGAAAACTATTTGTTTATTCACAAGTTGACAGAAATACACCCTATGTTTTTATTATAGCGATAGTAAACATTGTCCTGTATTTTTTCACTTTCTTGGCTTTCTGGCATTTTGGCCAATTGTTGGCAAAAATGCTGGCTGACCAGCTACACTGTCTGTAGAAAATAAAACTTAACACTGCAGACACAACAAGAAAAGATACCTTTATTAAAGTACGTAGGGTTTTGAATTTGTTTATATTGTTTTTAAATTTCATTACAGACGTCTTGATACAGCTTCAAACTTTGCCACGTATTAGTGAAGACGTGAACATTAATTTAGAGTTACGTTTGTTCGAAGACTGAATGTCCGAATTCTCAAAGGAACCACAAAATTCATTAAAACTTCGGGGTATTTGTAATTGTTGTCTTTGCATCGTCCTGTAGAGGAATTCAATTAAGTTTTTCCGAAACTTGATCTGGTAGTTTAGGCCCACAGCATTCTTGGAATTCCACCGCGTGTGCGTACGGGTTTAGGCTCACTGTATTCTTAGAAATTTCTCCCACGTTGTGACGTGCGATCAAGCGTTTCAAATTGCAAACATCCCGCGTATCAATTCTTAGAGCTAATCAAAGAATGAAACTGAGTTCGACAGACCATTTAGGTATGCCCAAATAGAATTCGTGCTTTTTTTTTCAAACTAGTGCAACAAAATTTTATCTTTCTTCAGACTAGCAAACTAAACCCCTTAAGAAATATAAAATGTTCGTATACAAATTAAATATCAATAAACAATTTTTTCCTTAAAAACTCCTACTTTAACAATTGTGAAATACTTATAACTTTAAAGTAGGAAGTTACAAGTAAATTCCCAAAATTTAGTAAGAATCGGCAAAAATGAAAAAATGTTAAATATACATATATATTAATAAATAACTAAATATTAATATTTTAATAATTCACTTTCTGTGGCTTCTTATAACATATAATCAAAAACCTAAGATTGGTTTTAAAATTACTGTAATTTATAATCTGTAATACTACTAATTTTAATGTTAAAAATTAAGCATAAGCCTAAATCAATGTAATTTTATTTCATATTCTGAGACAATAAATTGTTACTTGTCATAATGCCATTTATAATATTGAAAAGAAGTAGGTTTCCATTTATTGAAACAAATTGGGGAAGTTGGATAATATTTTAATTTCATAATAATAATAATAATAATTGGACATGGCATTTAACATGGAAACAGTATATAGAATATACCTTGCGTAGATGCAAAACAGCTTTGAATGTAATAAGATGCATTTCCCATATAAATTGGGGAGCAGATAGAGTCATCTTACTCCGCCTGTACAAATCCATGGTGATGTCCAAAATAGATTATGGATGTGCAGTGTACTTCTCAGCCAGAAAATCAAGTTTAAGGAAACTAGACCCCGTTCACAATGCAGGCCTCCGATTATGCATTCTGGCGCGTTCCGCACTAGTCCTTCTCAAGCCTCTCGGTAGATAATCTCGTCTATCCACTGGTTCTGCTACATCACAGACGACAATACAT